TACAGTGCCATGCGAAAGTATTCGGCCCCCTTGAACTTTTCAACCTTTTGCCACATTTCAGGCTTCAAACATCCATCCATTATCTTTACCCGCTTATTCCATTTTGGGTCACGGGGGTCGCTGGTGCCCATGTCCAGCAATCACTGTGCGAGGGGTGGGGTACACCCTGGACGGGTCGCAAGTCCATCACAGGGCCACATAGAGACAAACGAGACAAACAATCATTCACTCTCTCACTCACACCTAGGGACAATTTAGAGTTACCAATCAGCCTAACATGCATGTTTTTGGTCTGTGGGAGGAAATCGGAGCACCCGGAGAAAACTCACGCATGCACGGAGAGAACATGCAAACTCCACCCAGAAAGGCCGGCTTCAAACATAAAGATATAAAATTTTAATTTTTTGTGAAGAATCAACAACAAGTGGGACACAATCGTGAAGTGGAATGAAATTTATTGGATGTGTCAAACTTTTTTAACAAATAAAAAACTGAAAAGTGGGGCGTGCAATATTATTTGGCCCCCTTGCGTTAATACTTTGTAGCGCCGCCTTTTGCTGCAGTTGCAGCTGCAAGTCTCTTGGGGTTTGTCTCTATCAGTTTTGCACATGGAGACACTGAAATTCTTGTTCATTCTTTCTTGCAAAACAGCTCGAGCTCAGTGAGGTTGGATGGAGAGCGTTTGTGAACAGCAGTCTTCAGCTCTTTCCACAGATTCTCGATTGGATTCAGGTCTGGACTTTGACTTGGCCATTCCAACACCTGGATACGTTTATTTGTGAACCATTCCATTGTAGATGTGGCTTTATGTTTTGGATCATTGTCTTGTTAGAAAATAAAACTCCGTCCCAGTCTCGGGTCTCTTGCAGACTCAAACAGGTTTTCTTCCAGAATGGTCCTGTATTTGGCCCCATCCATCTTCCCATCAATTCTGACCATCTTCCCTGTCCCTGCTGCCAAAAAGCAGGCCCATACCATGATACAGCCACCACCATGTTTGATAGTGGGGATGGTGTGTTCAGGGTGATGAGCTGTGTTGCTTTTACGCCGAACATATCGTTTTGCATTGTGGCCAAACAGTTCGATTTTGGTTTCATCTGACCAGAGCACCTTCTTCCACATGTTTGGTGTGTCTCCCAGGTGCTTGTGGCAAACTTTAAACAACACTTTTTATGGATATCTTTGAGAAATGACTTTCTTCTTGCCACTCTTCCATAAAGGCCAGATTTGTGCAGTGTACGACTGATTGTTGTCCTATGGACAGACTCTAAAAAAGTTAAATCTGGTCCTCTGGACATTCAAAAAAACAAAACAAAGCAAATCAACAAAAAATGTAGAAACGTTTCGTCTCTCATCCGAGAGACTTCCTCAGTCTGAGGAGCTGTATTCAGCTCAGTCTCTTAAATAGCACCTTCTCAGGGTGGATCAACCAGTTTTGCTGCTGACAACCAAAACCAGCTTATCACATGCTCAAGAAGGACCATCAGCCTAACAATGGATCATTAGCACACTGATGGCTGTTTACTATTCACAGAGGGCTGAGTGATACTAGCAATCACAGCATTGTAAGAGGGGGACAGTTGAACCCAGAGGCCTCCACCCCTGTTTAACGATGGACGATTTCTTTTCACAAAGATGGCCTCCTTTACTCCTCTCTCAAACCATCGTTCCTCTCTGTCCAGGATGTGAACATCTTCATCCCTGAAAGAGTGACCGCTGGCCTGGAGATGAGTGTAGACCGCAGAGTCCTGGCCTGATGATGTTGATCTTCTGTGCTGGGCCATCCTTTTGGCCAGTGGCTGTTTAGTTTCCCCGATGTAAGACTGATCACAGCCCTCCTGACACTGAACAGGGAGTATCAGAGAAACTGAGACGTTTATTTTCTAAACATAACGTCCCAGTGGCTTTTGTAGTATGAACAGATGCTGAGATATATTCATACATTAAACGGGTTCTTCATTTTTCTGAACTGTGTAACATGCGTGCATTGAATTTAACAGAAATGTAACGAGAGACGTTATTTATCTTTGACCCATCAAAATGAATGCGGTCATTTATTTACAGAATCAAAGTTTAACATCAAACATTTACATTAATTTGGCAAAATATGAAAACAACA